GCTGGGTGAGGTAGCGAAAAGAAGGTCACTATTTGGCAATTTCTGACTTAAAATGACTGCCAATATAATGCATCTACAAGAGATAGGGATGCAGTGCCTGTTTGCTGGCGAGCTTGTATTGGCAGCATGAATGCTTCTTTTTGTCAGAAATGTGTGAAAATTTGCGAATTAGTGTTGTAATTGGTTTTCACGGTATTAAGAAAGAAAATAAGCAGTAATACGTATATACCGGAAAACACCGGAAAACACCAGAAAATGCCGGAAAACACCGAAAGCTACTAGAAAACTACTGTCCCCAAAATACCGAAACACACCGGAAAACTTAAAAAAAAAAAGACAACACCGGAAAACACCAGAAACCTACTGAAAATGCCGGAAACACCAAAAGACTATATAACTCCCCCGAAAAGGAAAACTAAAAAACAAACAAACAAACAAACTAGAAAACTACCAAAAACACATTAAAAAACATTAAAACTTTCCGGAAAAATCCGAAAACTACTGGAAAATACTGGAAATATACTTTAAAACTCTGGAAAATACCTCAAAATACAAGAAACATAGGAAAACTACTAGAAAAAGCAAACTATTGCCATGGAAAAAAGGAAAACAAGAAAAACCGTAAGAAAACAACAGAAACTACTAGAAAACCTCGAAAACCTCCTGACCAGAAACCTACAGTAAAAACCAGACGACTACAGAAAAAAACAGGAAATCTACCGAAAAATAATGGAAACTACCAAAAATATGAAAGTTTTCCAAAAACTACAGAAAAATGCTGGAAAACACTGCAAACCCGCATCTGTAGATAGCTTGCTACCAGTCAACCACGGTTACAACGGTATGGTGCGGTGCGGTTTGAGGGTGCAGTGAACTAATTCCATTTCTTTCCATTTGTTGATGGGCTAGCCGATTACATTCTTAATTATTTACGCAAAACAGACACACTCCTTGAAACCTGAAGATTCCCCAAACCGTACTCGCAGCCATTTGTCAAATGGTTTCCCAAGTTTTCTCGGGCACTGAGGACCGTTTGCCATCCGTAATTTTATCCAGTCTGCCCTCGGATGAAAAGTCTTACAACCAGGGAGTTGAGACCTGGCCCATATTTCTACAATCTTTCTACTTTCGATCAAACAACCTCCTTTTTCAAAAGAAACTTTGGGGCACTTTGCCAATGAGCTTAGCAGGAAGTTTCAATCGAA